CAATGGATTGCTGGTCCATTACAATGGATTGCTGGTCATATTCATACCTCCTCTACCCTCATGGGGGACAGGGTGAGGCTGGTGGGGTTCGAAGGCTGCGTGGGCACCTGCGCTGGGGCGGCCGCCCTCGCGTCCGTGGCGCGCGACGCTGTCCTCCACATCCACATGGCGGCGCCCCTGGACCTCAGCGCCCTCGAGGGGACATACAAGTGGCTCAGTGAGTCTTGCCCAGCACGGGGGGCGGCACCTCTGGGCCCGGGGGGCGCCGTATAATTATATATTGTATAGTCGTTATTTATTGTAATGTTTGGTGATCATTCACCAGGATAATCACCAAATAACAAATAATCACACTACGTATCAATAAATATATACAGTACATAATTTATATATACTATATTCAAAATATTATATATATATTAATGTATTATTATACAAATTAAATCTTTTACTTTTAGTTATATTATCTTTATCTGTTATCCTCATTGATATCTAATTTGACCTGCGCAGGGGTGTACACGCGCCCCCTCCCGCCCCCTGGCTCCTCCTCCCCCACGTGGCCGCTGCCCCCCTCCCCCCCGCCATGGCTGTACGTGGAGGGGGCGGATGAGGGGTCCTGGGGGGCCGTGGCCCACACCATCACCTCCTTCGCCCCCCCTGGCAAGAGGTACGTAGCCCCCGACCCCCGCGGGGGGAAATAGAGTTCCATTTGTTATACATCGTAAGTTGTATATCGCCTATAGTTATACATCGTATAGTTATAAATCGTGTAGGTATACATCGTATAGTTATACATTGTATAGTTGTGAGATGTGCGTCTGAATGACACTGCAGTTTGTGCGCCTGGAGGAATGACAGTGCAATTTGTGTGTCAGTGGTAATATATTATGAATGAATATGAAAGAATATGTATATTATATAATATAATATGAATAATAATATAATATGAATGACACAGCAGTTTGTGTGCCCAGGTTCTGGAGGCTGAGGCTGCGGGGCAGCAGGCTTCCTGCAGAGGAGCTGCCGCCGCTGCTGCGAGCGCTCCACGGGGCAGGAGTGAGGACGTGGGGCGGGGGCGACACGCGCGCCGAGGTTGACATGTGAGTGGACGGCGGCCACTGAACTGTGGGTCAATATTCCTATATCTCGGATTATATTATAATACATGTATATTGAATTAGATTACAATGATAGTTTTGATATATAATTATGTCTGATGGACGCTTATTGATTATGTAATTATTTTCTTATTATCTTATATATATATAGTCTACAAAGATAGTACTGATAGTGAATGATGGCCGCCGCAAATGAAACAAAATGGCGGCCGATGATGATGGACCGCCCACTCAGATGGCGGCCAATCATTGGACACAGCGCCATCATCACGACAATCATTATCATTTGCCGTCATATAAGAATAATGATATATCGTCATTATTGTTAATCCTATATCTTGATCCTATATTCATATTAATTAGACATAATTTAAGTAAATGAAGTGTAATATAATACATAATGTTAATAATATAAATAATATTAATATTAATATTGCTAATAAATATCATTATATATTACTTTGTATTGTATTACATCGTATTAATTATAAACAATATATTATACATATTATCCAGTATATATTCATAACGTAATTTATTAATAATTAAATAATTAAATTATATAATGATTAGAGCAATAATAATTGTTGTTGTTATTGTCAGAGAGACAAGTCCTCATGTATTGACCAACAGACCTTGATAGCTGTGAGTCAATTAATAAATTATTCATTTATTTATTTACTGAATACTTTTATAATTAAATTTAATAATGATTAAAATTACTCTTATTTATTTAAAATCTATCTATAACCCAATATCTCATTGTATAATATATCACATATATATTATTTAATATAATAAAAGTATGCATAATTCCAATCCTACATTAAATTTATTTCAATTTATTAATTCTATAAAATCCTATATGATTATAGTTAATTAATATATTCATGATAATTATCTTCAATATATTAATGATAAGATGATGGCGCTCTTTCATTGGCCGCCATTTGTCGGGCAATGATAGCGCCACACAAGATGGCGCCTGCTGGCATGCCACATGCCACATGCCACGCAGGATATTCACTGCCGCACTCCCACAGGTATGGGTGGGATTTTGACCTCCGCATCACAGACGACATGCCCTCGGGGGGACCAGCGGTGCCCAGTGACGCCGAACTGCAGGAGGCGTATCAAGACTACCTGGGAGAAGACCCGGACTCCGAATCCTCGGACGAGGATTCGGACTACGACTAGGACGAGTGGACGAGGGACACTACCTGCGCTGGCGAGGACGATAATGTGTGTTTTGTGTGGGATTAATGAGGCTTTGTGTGTGTTTTGTGTGGGATTCATGAGGCTGTGTGTGTGTTTTATGTGGGATTAACGAGGCTGCGTGTATGTTTTTTGTGGGGTTAATGAGACTGTGTATGTGTTCTGTATGACGCATGCATGGATGTCCCTCGCTTTACTGTCATTAATATATAACCTCACTCACGGCCTAGCCAGTCTATCTGCAGTTCGATATCATTTTATATAGTTAGTGTTTACTTGGTTTTATTTGTAACGCAATTAGTTTGATATTTTGCTGAACGAGTTTTAATTTATGAACATAATTATTGTCTTGTTGCAGGGCAGAGCTGAGTCGCTCTCATCGGTTGAGAGAGAGAAAGACGGAGAGAGATAGAGAGAGACAGAGCTAGAGACAGAGAGAGAGAATCCATTCCAGAAAATCCATTCTGCACTTCAGAATGGACTTGCAAACTACAGGGTATGTTCTTTCATGAATTAGATTACATTTAGCGGAATATCCGAGAGTGTTAATTTGAAACTGATTGGTGCAGTTAGGTTTACGACGTTCTATTATCAGAGAAACTGTCAATCTTCGACGCAAGGATCGCCATCTTTTGGCCCGTGCATAATCGTCTTGAATATTTGTGTGATCTAGCAGGAAAAATCTTGCGAAAACGTTCAGAAGTTTAATATTTAACAACAATTGGCCAATTATGCTGATGGAAATTTTTCGTAATATATGAGAAAGAACAAAATTCAAATGCCGTTAAATAAAGTTGCGAAATTGATGACAACTGCCAGGCATTACTGTTGTGTAGATCGGAAGTTAGGAACAAACTGTACTTTCCTTCAAACATTGCGTCGGACAAAGAACCTATACTTTGCTTTGAGGGTGGAAATAAGATCACAGCTTTCATAACTGTAGCATTAAAACTAGTAATGCTGATGTCAGTTCTTCTCATTCGCCTGCAGATCAAAGCAAGCCTAATATTTGTTTGCGATGGAACAAACCTGCTTAGCTTAGTTCATGATGATCTAGATTTGCTGCTAGTAGAGCTGATTCAAGTGCGAACTTCATTTCCAAACCAATGAAGCTGTCAATCGTCCTTCATGAATTAATTCTTTGATAAAGCGCAACTCGAAGATTAGAGTAGATCAATCGTTGCCGTAACTTTTGTCTTTGTAAGTGGAATGAAGTCAAAATTTCGCGAGGTACGAATGCTACCTGCACTGTCCTTGCGAGGAAACCATTTAATTATTGTGACAGCAAACAGAATGGCTGGCAAGAATCTATGTCTTAAATTAGCTGATAACCGTACAATAAGTGCTCCTAAACCTCGTGTCAATATTCGGACTATGTATTTTCCTAGGGGTAACATGCAGATGCTGCTGCATTTCTGAGCTACTTTTTGAAGTTTTTAATAGAAATATTGCTGGTGTCACAAGTGCATTTATGAACCAACTAAACTGTTCAGAATCGATGAGCTGTTCAAACTGGGAGTTAGAAACGTTTTGAATCTGATGCGTGAACTTCACCACACTTTATTGGAAATAATTTTTTGTTCGATTTAACAACAATAAATACCAAAGACTGTGCTTTTCAGCGACGATCCAAAAATATAGAAGTATTTCAACATGTAGATGCTAACTCAACAAACTAGCCCAAATTTTCATTAGAAAACGATGTGTTGATTAGACAGCATATGAAATGGAGTCTGCGCTGAAAATTTTTAAATAAATCGTGTTGCCTTCAGAAATGAGGCATAAAGCATTGAAATTAGCACATGACTGCATTACCGCTGGACACTTGGGCGTTCAGATAACGAAGAATAGAGTAATATATATGGAGCATTTTTTGGGTGTGGTTGTTTGCATGTAGTCGTCCTTCTAAATTACCATTGATTGAAGTGTCTGTACTAGAAAGTTTAAGGTTGGGAACTGTTTTCTTTACCGCTTCCTACAAGCGCCAGTAATGTTGGCATAACGTAAGGGGCTTTGAAGTAGTGAGACGGACCGATAAGGTTGATTATGTCATTAGAGTTAATGATTCCGAACAAACATATCATGTCAACAAGTTGAAGATATCCAGGGAGCGCTGAGCCTGACTCAAACTAATCTTTGCTGCGTGTTGCTTCCGTAGCGCTGAGAACGTGCCTAGTGATTTTAAGGTCGGGAAAGATTTGAGTGCTTCTGATTTTCAATTTATTTCTTAAGGTGTTGAAAGATAACAAAAACTGTTTCAAGGATGCGCCAGGGAGATTTAGTTTTATAAATTATGTATGCAATATTTATTCCTGAGCCTGTAAAACTGTCAGAAGTGTTGATGCTGAGATCAAGAAAATGATAGATACGGAATTGTCAAGAAATGAACCCGTCAGTGGGCATCGCCTGCATGTGGTGATCGTTCAAAATTGTGATGTTTTGTTAGCAATCGTTTGACCATCGATTTTTTGAAAAGTCAATAATTTTCTCAAAACAGATGAATTTTGAAATGCCGAATGTTGAAATTGTGATTAATTAGAAGCAAAAAAAGTAAGTGCATTGAAAAGCTGGGCTCAACTTAAGCATTTCTATAATTGCCTTGGATTGAACACTCAATTAATTTTATACATCCTTTGGTTTTTATAATGTTCAATACGAATTCAATGTGCCTTTTGGTAGAAAATGTATGGATTTATTTATAATACTTATGATTATTTGATCTTAATTTACTGATTTGTATTTGTGTCTTGATGTGTTGCAACTTTCATTTATTAGCGTTACGTTGTTATCCCTGTAGTTATAAGAGCGGAGTGAGCCTCTTGTTGCTCACGTCTTCCGCCAGGGCGTTTCTCGCCACCAAAATTACTTGAGGGAATAATTAGACTTTCTGTTTTGTGTGGGATTTACCAGACCGCATTTGTGTTATATACGGCATTGATTATTCTAATAAACGCGTGATTAAATTTGCCACACTCGTTTCATTCGCCATAGTCGCCAGGGACTCGGCTAGGACCATGAGATGCTAGGGACCATGAGATGCTAGGACCATGAAACGCTAGGACCATGAGATGCTAGGGACCATGAGATGCTAGGGATCATGAGATGCTAGGGACCATGAGATGCTAGGACCATGCGATGCTAGGGACCATGAGATGCTAGGGACCATGAGATGCTACGGACCATGAGATGCTAGGGACCATGAGATGCTAGGGACCATGAGATGCTATGGACCATGAGATGAGATGGTCACGGTCATGATGGTGCCGTGTCCCGACCACGACACGTGCCGCCGTTTGTATTATTAGTAGTCACACGAAACAAATTATCAACGTATCATTCAAATATGAAAAATATTTTTTCCATCAAACCAAATCCCTAGTTAGTAATATTTAATAATTTGCGTTCTGCTCCCTGGGAAGAGAAGCAAAGCGTTGTTACCCATTGTGTTCCTCTTGGACTTTAAATCGTAATTTGCATAAAAATGCGACTTCCCTGCAATGAAGCGAAAAACTAAGTCTTAGAAAGTTCCTGAAAGTATCCAATAGGATTAAGTCGATGGTCTTCAGAGTTGAAGGATATTTTTGTGCTTGTATTGAAGTTAAACACACCAAATTATTTAATATCAGATGGGTCTAACTTATGACCCGGCAATAAAATCTCAAGGAAGAGGCTTTCTCATACAATGCTTTCAATAAATTTAATAAAGAAAATAAGATATTTAGAAAATTCGCTGTTCGCGCGTTAAAAGATAAATTATTGCTTTCGTCTGTCATGTTTTCGACTGAGAACAGAAAATTTACACTTAAACATAGAAAACGAATTCTGCCCAAATAAAAATTAAGGGTGGCACACCGATGATTATAGGTGGCGATAGTATATTATAGGTGGCGTAACGGTGGGTGGCCAGATCTGCCGAAAATCGATAATAAAACACCTATAAATCGAAAGGGTGGTTAGTATAGGTGGGAGTCATCGATGAATCTTCGATGATTTATAGGGTCTGAAACATCTATGGCACATTGCAGACAAATCTCTTGTGAACCACCGATAACCGTTTGTCCAAGCTGCACAGTGCACGATGGTATTTGCCACTGTAAATTATCCAACGTAGAAAGGTGTTATTAGGTTGTGGGTCATTCGAGATCAAGACGAAACCATATTTTCGTTCTGTGTGCTTGGCTTCTAAGATTAAGTTCTGGTAAGACAATTTAGCGTGAATTCGGTGGGTATGAGTATAACTGGCAGTTAGAAGTAAGGTGTTCACAAATTTTCAAACCAAAGTGAAGCCACTAGGCATGTATCAGACTGCTCCTGATATAAATTGTACGAGGAACAATGAAAATTTTTTGTCGCAAAAAATACAGTTTCTCAAAAGGTAACAGCGAATCCAATTTTTTATGTTCACATGAGATATTGAGTTAATTTATTGCGAATTTTACGTGTGCGCTAACCGGCTGTGTTGGAAATATTGCGATAAATTCAGACTAATTATTGTATCATTAAGTATAAATTGTAGGATCGATTAAGTGGGTTATATAATATTGGCAATATTATCAAACTGCCCCATCTATCTAAACTCAAAAGTCATGTCGACGTAGTCTATAGAGGCAAGGCATCTCTATAAGGCCCCTTTCACACAGGGCAGTAAATACTGCCAGCGTCCGACAGTATTTACTGCCGAACCCTAGCGGACATACGAAATGTGCACTGCTGTTCACACACGACTGCTTTTACTGCGGCGTAGAACTTGACGCCTGACGCCAGCGTGTGTCGCGCTAAAACTGCGGCGGTAGATTTGTCGCGACAGTTTAGCTTGCAATGGTATTCAATGTAATCTTTCACACTGGGCAGTTTTTGACGCCAGATCCCAGCAGACAGTGGGGCCGTATTTTAGGTGCATAATAAACAGCACTGCTAGACTGATAGATTATAGACTGATATTGTAACATGAATATCGGTACATAAATATTGTTACATAAACATAAAGATATTTATTGTTAAATATATATTTCCTTAAAGTGAGAGAGATATATTTTATAAAAGATATATTTTCCATAAAATATATAGGTATTTCCATAAAGATGTATTTACATCATTCTCACATAGAGATATATTTTCATAAAGAAATATTGTTACATAAACATAGAGATGGACTGATGGTGCATAAAGCACTGCAAGACTGATAGATCCCAGCAGTAAAAAGCGCCTCGTGTGAAAGATTGCGCTGTAAATACTGCCGCGGCATTTTTGACGCGCACAGTATCTACTGCCCTGTGTGAAAGGGGCTTAAAGCGCAGCGGCTCTGCGGCTCTTAAGTGCAGCGAGCAAGTCGAGTAAGCACACGTTCACGTTCACACGTGTTGCACGTGTTGGGTTTGCTGGAGTCGGCGTTGAGCTTCCTACTAATCTTTATCATGTCCCGCTTGAAATATGTGCTTTCCGTGTAATTTGCATGTCAAAAAAGTATCATTTTTGAGCGGAGGGATACGAATAAAAAATCTGCTATCTATCCCTCCGATAGAAATAAATCTAATTCTGCTTCGATAGTGGAATTTAATTATTTAGGGAAATTTGCTCATACGTCATAGACAATTATTTCGATTTTAAGTCTAAATTTCTACTAGAGTGGTTCCGGTATCTTTTGGACACAAAAGATTAAAGATTATGCAAGAGAAAAATAGTGACTCGAAGTGGAGCAGTTAATTCACGCCTGACATTTCAAAATCATCGAGTGATATCAATTCCTTATTTCACGCAAGAATATTCTTGGTGAAAATATTTCGAATCAAACCGCTGTCAATATTGGTGCTATGTTCACACTATGAAACTTCGATGCTTATTAAGCATTTTTCCGTAGCCTTTACTCTGAGCTGAACTATCGTTTGCTATGAATATACGGAGTTTCTTTCACTGGCTGTTTACTCGAATCTAGCAGCATGTTCAAATAAAATTGTGGACGGAACCATCTAATCATCACGGTGGTAGCACTAACTTCTATAATTTGATGAAATTAATACTTGCAATACTTCAGTCAAATAGTTTAAAATTACTCTAGTGCCTAGTCCTCTAATATAGCTCAACGGTAAAGGCTTTGCCTCGCGTGCGGGAGACCGGAGTTCGAATCCTGCAGGCAGGGAGTTTCTTCAACTCGATTTCTCACAAGGTATGTGTATGGTACTCTGAAAATTTGTTCCTGCTACATGTCTGACATTGTTACTTGTACTATAATGGTAGATTACATGCGCAGCCCTTAGAATGGTGATCGTGTGGAACTATGTCAGTAAATGCATACGCATTGGATCAAAAACTAAATTTAAAATTTTTATCGACTTCATTTTAAAAGTGGCCACCTCACGGTGACCTCTGGCTCATCAATGTGCCACTGGTGCCAATTGGTAGTTATTGCCGGAAGTAGAGCTTTATGGGTAGGGGGGCCATCGGCAGGCTCTAGGTGTGGTAAAGGTGGTGCACGCCACCCTTAATTCACTGTATAAATCTTAGCTGCTCCACCTATGGCGTCCGCCTATAGCCATCATAAAAACATAGGTGCTCCACTCTTAATTTTTATTTGGGTGTAGGAAAAGTTCTTCTGTACCACACAAGCAACCTGCGCCCCCAGCCTGCGTCGCATCAGACAGCCGACCTGCACCCCAGACTGCGTCACACCAGACAGGCGACCTGCGCCCCAGCCTGCGTCGCACCAGACAGGCGACCTGCGCCCCCAGCCTGCATCGCACCAGACAGGCGACCTGCGCCTCCAGCCTGCATCGCACCAGACAGGCGACCTGAGCCCCAGCCTGCGTCGCACCAGACAGGCGACCTGCGCCCCAGCCTGCGTATCACCAGACAGACAACCTGCGCCCCCGCCTGCGTCGCACCAGACAGGCGACCTGCACCCCCAGCCTGCATCGTACCAGACAGGCGACCTGCGCCCCAGCCTGCGTCACACCAGACAGACGTACTGTGCCCCAGCCTGCGTCGCACCAGACAGGCGAACTGCGCCTCCAGCCTGCGTCATACCAGACAGGCGACCTGCGCCCCCAACCTGCGTCGCACCAGACAGGCGACCTGCGCCCCCAGCCTGCGGCACACCAGACAGGCGACCTGCGCCCCCAGCCTGCGTCGCACCAGACAGGCGACCTGCGCCCCCAGCCTGCAGCACACCAGACATGCGACCTGCGCCCCCAGCCCTGTCTCTTATACACATCTAGATGTGTATAAGAGACAGGTTTTCGACTGAGAACAGAAAATTTACACTTAAACATAGAAAACGAATTCTGCCCAAATAAAAATTAAGGGTGGCACACCGATGATTATAGGTGGCGATAGTATATTATAGGTGGCGTAACGGTGGGTGGCCAGATCTGCCGAAAATCGATAATAAAACACCTATAAATCGAAAGGGTGGTTAGTATAGGTGGGAGTCATCGATGAATCTTCGATGATTTATAGGGTCTGAAACATCTATGGCACATTGCAGACAAATCTCTTGTGAACCACCGATAACCGTTTGTCCAAGCTGCACAGTGCACGATGGTATTTGCCACTGTAAATTATCCAACGTAGAAAGGTGTTATTAGGTTGTGGGTCATTCGAGATCAAGACGAAACCATATTTTCGTTCTGTGTGCTTGGCTTCTAAGATTAAGTTCTGGTAAGACAATTTAGCGTGAATTCGGTGGGTATGAGTATAACTGGCAGTTAGAAGTAAGGTGTTCACAAATTTTCAAACCAAAGTGAAGCCACTAGGCATGTATCAGACTGCTCCTGATATAAATTGTACGAGGAACAATGAAAATTTTTTGTCGCAAAAAATACAGTTTCTCAAAAGATGACGGCGAATCCAATTTTTATGTTCACATGATATATTTAGTTAATTTATTTCGAATTTTACGTATGCGCCAACTGGCTGTGTTGGAAATATTGCGATTAATTCAGACTAATTATTGTATCATAAAGTATAAATTCT